TTCGTTGTGAAAGCGAAACTACTTTGTTTGGTCTTCCAAAAGAGGACGATATCCGCTTCATCATGCCTGGAGCTGATCCGTGCTGGTCGCCGAGGAAATACATCAACTTCGCGCTGTGGATTGCCAGATCGGCTTTCACCGTGGACGAAGCGGAGTCCAGCCCGTCCAGTCACATATGGTTGCCGCAAGCCCAAACGCGAGTTTTGAGCAGTGTAGAGTAGCGCTTGTTGTTTGTCATTTCTCCGAACATTTTTATGTTTATGCAGCGTGATGCAAAAAGACAGTATAAGTCATTATAATCCGGAATTATTTCCCCACTGGATGCAACAAATGCCTCGTTTATAATGGGTTTTAATGTTTTTGTCTCATCGATCCGACCGGACAGGGCATCATCACGATATGGTAAGAGGCGTAACATTTCCGTCACACGCTTGAGGTATTCGGCCAATCACAACGCACTGGATAGCTGGCCAATCAGAGCACACCTCGCTTTTCAGACCGATGAGCTTTGTAGAAATTGACGTGTTTCAGAAAGGCGGGGCATAGAGGAGAAACAATAATGTACAGTATGTGGAAAATAATGTGTTTTTTGAAGCTTCAACCGCATAAACACATTTCATTACACCAAATACACAAAATAATGTTCTTTTTAGCAGCATCATATGACCCCTTTAAAACACTGTCTTTTCAGTTTTATATTTGGTTTTGAGTGGTATGTCACACCTCATTGCCTAAATCCTGCACTCAGAACCAAATTTCTGAAGTTTGTATCTTATGATATAAACAGAGCGCTCTAAATATAAGCTGTTTTGAGGCTTTATAAATTACAGCCCATGATGATGATTGTTTTGTGTCCCAGTGAATGGGTTAATTGTACCTTTTGTCTCTTGCGGAGCGTCCAGTTCTTCCAGAGCAGCAGACGGATCTGGCTGCCTGTGTTCATGACTCCAACTCAACCCCGTGTAGGGGTCAACAAGCTGCAACAAACCTGTCAACACATCACATACTTCACACTCACAATCAAACTGAAAGAAATCTCGCAGAGCTGGTGTCCAGAAATTCAAGTGACAGATGAATGTCATTAGCATTGTAGAACTGTACACATCAGATTTCAGACAGCTAGTCTTCAATAATGAAAACAGCTGTTTTAGTGAAATGTTGCTTGGAGGCTTTGTTTCTTAGTCATGTGAAATTGGGTCACAAATCTTTAAAGGAAAATACGGGCCTAACATTGAACCACTGAACTATTTTGAGCCACGGCAATGACTACTACAGCAAGACCAAAACAGCACAGCAGTCACAGACAGAGCTGTTATTATGTCCGTTAGACATCTAATTTTCCACAGTAATCTTTGAACACAAACACTGATTAAAGCTCTTTCAGTTCAGGTTCAGATACACGTTTCATCTTACAGCGTCTCTTTTGACAGACATATTGCACAAACTCTTGATCTTGATAGTTAAATGAATGTCAAAGAATTAAAAACATAACATTTAAATGGCAGATTTAACATACATATTCTCCACAAAGGCCAACAAATTTAACCCTTCATTAATGTACAGTACTGAGTACTGTTCAGTTTGGGGTCAGAAAGATTTGTTAATGTTTTTGAAAGTTTATTATTCTCAACAAAGCTGCATTTATTTGACCAAACATATAGTAAAAACACTGAAAAAGATTACTATGTAAATGATCTGTTTTCTATTTTAATATGCGTCAAAATGTAATTTATTCCTGTGATTGCAAAGCTGAATTTTCAGCAGTCATTACTTCAGTCTTCAGTGTCACGTGATAGTTTCTAAATCATTCTAATAGATTCGCTACTAAAAAAACATCTATTATCATGTTGAAAACAGTTGTGCTGCTTAATATTTTTGTGAAAGCCGTTATTAATTTTTTTTATAAATAGAAAGTTCAAAAGAACTGCCTTTATTTTAAACTTTTAGTAACATAAGTGTCTTTACTGTCACTTTTGATTAAATTACTGAATAGAAGTATTATTAAAAAAGACACAATCAAATCTTTTTGATTTGACCAAACAAATCATGATTTAAACTGGTAACAGTTTAGATTACTAAACACATATTCACTTTAAGTTTGTCAAACTTGTATAACTGAGAGTTTGCTTTCAGGAAACTCCTAATTTGCTGCTAATTTATAGTTATTATGTTTAGGTATTGGGAAAGGTTAAGGGCTCTAGAATATGGTCGTGCAGAATAAGGCATTAAAATGTGTTTTACAAGTGCTAATAAACAGTTAATATTCCAGTATGCTAATAAGCAACTAGTTAATAGTGAATATTGTTCCCTTAAAACAAATGGTATATTTACCTCAGTGCTGAAGAAATATGAGTTCCTTATCATTCACAAATAAATGTTCATAATTCCAGTCCATGATAGTCGCTGAAACACAACAGCCAAACTTGCTGCTTCTGACTGACTCAACTAATCCGATTGCCTTAATCTGCAGGGTTAACATGGCCATCAGCAAAGCCCTCCATTTTAACATGACTGCTGTTTATTTACATGTACACTGGCACAAAAATGACAGTTTACATACAAATACATACACATAAAGCCGTTGACGGATCTACTAGACTATGAAAATTGACCTTGTGAGAACTGTGGAGGAATCAGTCACTTTCTGAGTGACACATATAGGATACTGTACCAAGCGAGACAGGAGATCTGTCCAACAGGGCATTTTTTTTTAAACAAAATGGGCCTCTCGATGCTCTAGCTCCTGCATACGGCGACTGCGTCTCTGATAGAGGGGTTTGGCGTCTGCAGGGCTGAGCTCCTCTGCGCTGGAGCTTGGAGATTGAGGCGGAGAGAGTGTGACGGGGCTGATGGAGTCATTCTCTGATAGTCCTTCCTCTGCTCCAGATACAGCACTCATCACTGTCGTAAAGGTCGGCTTGGCCGTTGGAGCGATAGTCACTGATGTTGTTGGTGTGGTTGGGGGTGTCGTGACGGCTGTGGAGACTGTCGAAACTATTGATGTGGCCGCTGTTGTAAATATGGTAATGGCTGTTGTGTATATGGTCCCTGTGGTAGTGGTTGTTGCTGTTGAAACGGTTTTTGCCAACGAGTCAAATGGCCTGATTTGGCTTACTGATGGAGGTCTATAGAACGTTCCGGGAGGGGGTTTTAGTGTCCGTGGCGCTCGGAAGGATATCGGAGTCCCGGCGTTCTGGCTTGTAAAATCTTTTCTACTGGCGCTGCTTTGGGGTACAACGCTAATTTCCGACGGTTTTGCCACGCCAGAGGATGGCAGGTTGGCCACTATCATAGCAGTTCTGGGCGTCACATCGTAATGCTTGTACTGTCTGTCCCACGTTCTCCTCAGTGTCTGTGTGTCGATAAAGGGGTTTCTGTAATAGTTGGTGAAGCGTGGTGTTGAAGGCTTGTCCGGTTCGGTGGTCTCCTGAATGGCGGCCGGTGAGTGTTCACGCTCTTCGGTGTTGTGACTGTTGCGCTCGTTGAGCAGTCGCTCCACGGGCATGCTGATGGGTCGAGACACCGGTTTGGTGCGCTGAGGACGTAGTTGCACCACTCGGCTGCTGGCACTGAATGTGGACTTCTGCACGCCTACAGGAGCTGAGCCAACCCCATTGACATCTGAGCCCTCACCTGCTGGAAAGAAAAATACGTTTGAACTTAATTTATACAAATTATTAATTCAGAAGAGACATCAAAAAAATTACTCTCAAAATCTGCCTGCAATTTTTGCATTTCCAGGTCAGTTTTGACTAGGGGTGACCCTGAATAGTTGACGATTCGATGCTTCGATTGGAGGAGCCTGATTCGACTACCAATCTCACAGTCTAATATTTGTGGGGTGTTATGCTCATGCCATTTTGGCTATATGGGGGTGCTCAATGTTTGATTTCAGATAGAATTACCGGTTTTCTCCCAATAATATTCAGCCTATTAAGATAATGCTGTAAATAAGAATATGAAAAGAAAGAAGCTTTACGATTCGATGCTTCGATTGGAGGAGCCTGATTCGACTACCAATCTCACAGTCTAATATTTGTGGGGTGTTATGCTCATGCCATTTTGGCTATATGGGGGTGCTCAATGTTTGATTTCAGATAGAACTACCGGTTTTCTCCCAATAATATTCAGCCTATTAAGATAATGCTGTAAATAAGAATATGAAAAGAAAGAAGCTTTAAAAAAAACATTTTAACGTGCGTGGATAAATTCAACCACTCCTATTGATTTATAAATGATGAGTAAAAACCTGCTATCAGATGCTTCATTCTACTGGTCATCTTCAGCGCGCACAGCTCAAAACAGAAATGCAGAACATTAATAACTACTGTCATATACATAACGTTATAATGAGAGAAATATTTTAAAAAATTGTGTGAATTCTTAGGGTTTCGCTGACATTTAATGTTAACTATCTTTCAATCAAAACATAAAACATTATTTACCCCGTTTGTATCTGCGAGGTGTCCATTACACATTTTCCCTGTGTGTTAACGTCAGTATTTATGGCAGTCGAAAGTCCGACTTGACTCTTGGTAATGTATTTTGCCCCCGCCCCCAAACTTATGATTCGACTACCAGTCGACTATTGCCAAGATTCGAAAATTCCGATTCTACTTTGTAAATCCTTTTGCCGGGGACACCCCTCGTTTTGACAAACTGAAACATAAACTTAGAAACAGTCAATACATTATATTTTTCATCAATTTGAAAAAGGAATATTTCGCAAAACTGCAAAAAATGAATTTTTTTCGCATTTACATGTCATACACCTAATGGAAACGTACATTTTGCAAAAACGCCAATATGTCGCAAAAAAGTTTTTACGTTCACGTGAGTGATTTTTCAGGCAATTTGAAAGAATTATTTCGCAAAACTGCAACAGAATGCAGTTTTTCGCATTTACATGTCATACGCCTAATGGAAACACGTCAGTTTAACAAAAACTCCAATATATCACAAACGTTTTTACGTTTGCGTGAGGTGGTTTTTCAGGCAATTTGAAAAAGGAATATTTCGCAAAACTGCAACAGAATGCAGTTTTTACACATTTACAGGTCACCTGGCATACGTAAAAATAAACATGATAATTCTTTAATGTACTATAACCTCCAAGAAACACCTCATATGTGGCAGTTCTCAATTATAAAGGGCTTTCCTGGCCATTAATGCTTGGATAACCCCTTATTTACACTGCACACATCTGCAGCACATTACGTCTCTGACACTTCCACCGGCCACTCCAGTCAGTGCTTGTGTCTATACCACCTGCGCCGCAGCACGTTTCAGAAGCGGCTCTTCGCACTGCTTCACTAAACATACACTCCTATATGCATACATGTTAAAAATAATGGCTAGTGCGGTGGCTGCAATATACATAAGCCTAGCAACATCAGTTGCCATGACTTTTTGCGAGAGGAAAAAAAAAACTGCTTTTAATCGCATAACATCAGTTAATGGAAATGCCGTCAATTCGCAATAGGTTTTTATTGACATTTATAAAATATCGCAAATGTTTTGCGCAAATCTGTAATGGAAACCAGGATAGTGATGCAAGAAGCGTTTTATTTGAATATATCATTATATGAAATATATAAGAACATATCATCTGAGAATTACCATTTGTAACTCTTGAAATTAGTAGATTTAATTAAATTCCTTTGAACTTATAACTGCACAAAACAGTCCACATTTATGAAATCTTCATTATTTCTTTAAACAAAACCACATCAATATTACTCAAGAATATTTTCAAAACAAATATATTCGTTTTTCTTGCATAAACTTTCAAATGAAAAAATATGACAAAAAATTTCAGACAAAAAATATGATCTATTTTTCATGCTGCCATGGCTCATCAAAGGGGGTCAGTATTGATTTCATGTTAACTTTAATACCAAAGATGAGCAGAGACAATCATACTAACCAGGTGTTTGCCCTTTATCGTCCCCTGTCTTCATCTCCTTCACTTTCTCCATCAGCTGTGCAGAGGTAATCACAGACGAGTGTCTCTTGTAGGCTTTTGCACTCTGTATGAAGGATAAACACGGATCAGAAATAAAAAACTCTAATATTTTTTTTAAAAAGTCCAGCTTTCATTCTCTGGCCCAACTCACCACTTTGATATCCATGAGAGATTGGGAGTGGCGGCTGAGCGCTGGCTGTGGTGCTGTCGGACTGGTGGGAGACACAGGGCTGAGGGGGCCATCAAAGATCATCTGGTGGTGCCTGATGAGCAGGTCCACCATGCGGGCCTGGTGGGGGTAGTCAACCAGAGAGGACAGTGACACTTCCACCTCCAACTGCCTGGGCTTGATGAGTGTGGGACCGAAGATGATACCCAGGTTACTAGCGGTCATCTTGTTCTCCTCAGCTTGCTCTGACACTCTGTAGAACAATAAGTCTCAAATTATATTTCACTTTCACTAAACCCATTTAAGGATGTCAAGCAACAAGCAAAGAAAAACCAATCCCGATAACAGATTCCTGCTTCTTTGCTATATGAGCTTTTTAAACACGCTTTGGTTTATGGTTTGTGTTCGCGTACCTGTCCAGATGGGTGATGAGGAACTGCAGGGTTTTGTAGTGCGCTGCTGGAAGCTGGCGAAGGAGGTCTCTGATTTTGAAGAGGACTCTTTTAAGCTCAATACTGAGGCACAGCTTCTCTCCTGGTGATTTCTCTTTAGTCGAGTCAGTCTCCTTCATGTTCTGAGTCTCTTTTGCCAGCCCGATGATATCGTTGTAATACCGATACAGAATCAATGGCTCCGGCAGCTGAAAGACAATTGAATTCTTTTTTAGACAATGTCAAATCAGCAAAATGTGAAAAGTAATGGAACCCTATAGAGTGCAACAGCTGGGTTTTGGCAGAAAAATCTAATTCATTTTCTCCATAAGGAACTGATTTTGAACTTATAAACCCTTAAAGACAGACCTACAATGAGCTACAAGGTTGTTAATTGGTGATATAATCTCCATCAAACAGAGAATCACAACAAGCAAATCACACCAAAAGAACATTTTAGTGCCTGTCCACTCCCATGAAGCACTGCGAATGATGTAATAGTAATTTTTCATGCGCTGTCAGACTACTTAAATATCAGTGTACATATACATTTTGCAATACATGTAAAATATATTGTTTCTATACACAATCAACATCTTTAAACAATAGTTTTATATATATATATCCATCATTTTTATTTTGATTGTCATTCGCAATGCTCCATGGGATTGTAGCTGTTTCCCTTATTAAAGCTGTTACATACCATATATATAACATACATACCATATATATAAGATTTTCACATTTCAACATTTTTCAAGAACAAAGTTTGCAATGTTGTGATTCACCTCGTAGCTGGTTGCTTTGGCTCATGGCTTATAACTCTATAACAAATAAAAAATTCTTATGTGAAAAATACTTCCGAAA